CCCCCCCCCTCTATCTATCTATCTATCTATCTATCTATCTATCTATATATATATATATATGCTCCAGTAGCCGCCCATTCTGCCTTGGCTTGTACTGGAGTTTTCTTATGCAATTCAAATCTGAACCGTCATGTGGTTAGGCAGCAAGCAGCCATTGGCTGTCATGGCGACGTTTATGCTTGATTGGACCAATGGCAACGCGCGTGCGCGCTAGACCCTAGGCGGCTCGTGTATCGCGGAGGATGCCGGGAGCTCCTTTATATATGCGGCTGAGCTGAGCGCTCTAGCAGTGCTGTACGAGTGTATGTGCTGTTTACGCTGCTTGGTGACAACTAGTGTGACACACAATGGCGGAGGGGGACAACAGAAGCACCAACCAACTGGTAAGCGCGGTGTGTGTGGTGTGACAGCTGTCAGGAGGCCGCGGTTGTAAATATGGGGAGGTGACATGGCGTGGTGTCCAGCATTGTTCTCTGCTGGCTTCTGGGTTGCAGTTATATAAGCGCACCGTAGGCTGGGTCACATCGCTATGCTGTACCTGTATATTACAGAGCTGAAGTAGCGTTGGCCTGCTTTGCTGGGATCGAGAATGACTTGCTTGCTTTGTGACAGGCCTCGGGAAGGGAGGTGACTGATGGTAACATCAGATTGCAGTGCACAATAGGGAAGTGATCCGATGATAACGGTGTGCACATCTATACAAAGGCCGCAGCGTGAAATCGCATGTGATCTGTCACTAAGGACATGTTGTGTTATAAGTGGATTACAGGCAGACGTAAAACACTATTTAAATCTACACTGTTTCTGTTTTAAAAGAGATAAAGTGGCCGGGGAGCTTTTAGCCATCATGTGCTAGTCCGCCCAGTATATTGGCAAATTATTGCCGACTTATCTGCCAATGTGATCCCCCTCCAGCACTGCTCTTCTCCCTCGCCAGCGTTTCCATTCCCTGACGGTCTTCTGGGATCAGAGTCTTCGTTCGCTTGATTGGTGACGGCCAGACAAGGTAACACCCGAACATGCACACCATAGTTAGGCCCCTTTCACATGGGTGGTCTGAATGGGTCCACCTGTCAGTTTTTTAGGCTGACCCCGAACGGATGCCCAATGTTAGTCTATGGGCAGCCAGGTGTTAACAGACAGCCGTCCATTTACACCCAGTTCCCCCGACTCCGGCCAGGTCCAGAAAAACAGACGCAACAAGGTTTTGCCAGACCTGATTGTGCTGGACTCGGGGTAATCCTGATGTAAACGGACACATGTCCATTGACATCTGATCCCCATAGACTGACATGGGGTCCGGCAGTTTTAATTTTCCTCCATTGCAAGATGGAGGAATAAAACTGGACAGACATGGATGTCACAGTGGTGACATCTGATCCGCACTGCTCCGATTAGGGGTGGGGTATCTGTGCATGGAGCCCCTCCTTATCAGCACGTGTGAACGGGGGCCTTAGGCTCTATTGTTTTTTTCCGTATGCGTCGAATAGCTGCTCTAAACAGAAAAAAACAATGCAGTTTAATGTGCTTTGTTGACTTTTGCGGTGGCCGCCCACCCGCAAAATAGTCCAATCGCGATTTTATTGGAAATGGATTACACATGTTCACGGCTATATATTGGCTGCAAACAAGCGGAATCCGTGCAGATGAAAGATTTTAGTGTTTGCTTTGCTGTGTGGGAATTGCAAACGCTATATGTGAATGGAACCTTACTTTCGCCTTGGCTAGAATCCTGCCAAGCCTGTACATTGAGCTGCATACGCATGGCTTAGTACACTTGGCAACAAAAAAAGTACTGATAGGAGGATGTATGACAGAAGAGATTTACATATTCTCTTCTGTCGGTCAGCACTTTTTATACATACCACTCAACGTCCACTTTGTTTGGTTCAGGGGTATTGTGTATATGTTCCCCGCTGCACGTTGTGGTTCTGTCCACCAGCTCCTACTTCGCTATTGTGTCTTGTTGGATGAAACCACAGAGTGCAAAAGGGGACCAGACATCTGGTCTCCTGTCACTTCAGGATAACTAAGCGGGCAGGAAAGCAGAGCTTCTGTCATCCTGTCACTTTCAGGATTGCCGATCGTTTCGGGATGGCCGAACAGGGGATCGGTAAATATGCATAATATTTCACCTATCCCTTTCTGTGCAGGACAAACACTGGAGTGATCGTTGAATGTTTTGTAAACAACTGGGGACATAGTATGTGTCTCCAGTTATGAATGGACAGGAAGTGCTTTACATGACTTCCTGTTCATTCATAATTTTCTGAATAGGTAAAAGCAGCTCAGTACAGAAGCTTTATACATTCATAACTGATTGATGGTAAATATTTACTATCTCCAGGTTGTGAATGAATAGGAAGCCTCTGTACTGATTGCTTTCTATTCATTTAGAACAGGGGGTGCAGAAAAAGAGAACAAGGACTCAAATAATTTTTCTATCTGGCACTTTATTTAGACCTAAGCCTTGTGCTTCCTGTTTTAGATGGTGTCCTAGAAACTTCTTGGAAATGAAGTCGCTGTGGAACTAACTAACCATCAAACTGTTGAAGCCTAAGGGTCAGCATATTAGCCAGGCAACTGGAATTTCAGAAGGCAAGGTCAGCAGTGCCAGGCTCCATTCTTCTGTCATGACAAAGTTTACTTGTCCCCGACTATGGACTAAGAACAATTTACATATTCTTTACAAACAGTAAAAGAGATTTAAACAAGCCATCCGTGACCTCTCCAGCTGCTGTTAAAATAATTCAGTCTCCAAGATCACAACAATGTTAGGGTTTCAGGCCATTTCCAACAACTTGGATACACCCACTGGTTATTTACATTAGTGGGTTGCCATTCTGCCAACCACTACTCTCATAGGAAAAACACAGTTCCTATATTGTGAACTTTGCACATTCAGGCCTGGTTCACACCTGCACGTTTTGTAGCGCGTTCAACGCTCTACAAAACGCTCAAACATGAAAATCCCATTGTTTTCTATGGGTATGGTTCACACCTTGCCGTATTTCAGCCCGTCTGAACGCGCTACAAAACGGCCTACGCCTGAAAAGGTACAGGAGCTTCTTTGCGGCCTTTTTGTCTCGCGTTTCCATTGGGATACAGCCGAGTAGCCCTTGGAAAATGCGCGTTTTTACCGCGATTCGCGGGAAAAGCGCGCGTGAGATACGCGCATATTCGATACGCCTAGGTGTGAACAGAGCCTAAGGTAAGTAAATGACTCCATTGATCCTCCTCTAGGCAAAAGCGAGCAGTTAACCCTTGCAGTTGGGAGGGGGGAAGGACCCAGAGCTCAGCTTTAATTTCTTCCCAATGCATTTTTTTCAAGGTGCATTAGAAAGGTCATTATGTGAATCTGGTCACAAGTGTAACACTTCATTTCCTCCCATTCCGAGTCAAAATATGTGGCCGCAATGTGCAGTTTACAATGAATGTACTTAGCTTAAGTGCTTTGTGATATGGATTTTCCTTTGCCTATCTACTGGTATCTATATGTGATGTTCCCAGAAGTGAGTGCAATGAAAAGGTTTCTATCTTGAAATGGCAATGTACATTGGACAATCTTGTCTTTACTTAACTAGTCTGGTGAGAAGAACCAATAGATTACCTATAACATATAGAGGTTTAATACAGTGCCATGTGAAAGTATTCAGACCCATCCTTTCATTTTACAAAATAAAATCCTCCAATCAAAATATTTCTCTGAAATGTTTTATGTCCAGACATTGCAATTATTGAATGTTCGATAAAATGTAATCTTGCACTCTGAGATTTTGTTGGGCCACCTTGGCAGTAGTAGCCGTTGATGGGTACACTCAAATCACAATTAAACAATGAAAAGGGGGGGAGCCTCCAGCCTGAACTTTATTTTGTTTAAGGTAGCAGAGGGAAGTGGTAAAAGCCTGATGGAGGTTCCCACCCTTCCCCACTCTTTCCAAGCTTTTGAGGGTACAAAGGTGTCATCTCACTTTTCAGGAGTGGTTTTGACCAGTTTTTTGTCGGCTTTGGTCCCGGCTGTGCAGTTTAGGTGGATGACGCTAGGGAAATGTCATTCCGCAGTCTCTCCGCTGGTTTGAGATCAGCACTTTGACTGCCACTCCAAACTTACCGTACTTTGCTTTGTGTTTGGAACCATTGAGCTGCTTTCAGTATGCTTCACCTTTTCCACACTGCACCTACATCATCTTTTTTTGGTAAATTACAGATGTGCTTTCACATACCAAGGAAAATAATTTTCTAGGCAGTGTGTTACATTGCATCTTACCAATATAACCAACATTACCTGCAGGGACATCCAAACCCTTGGATACCTTTCACCCTTCTACTTTTTTCTGCCCTCTCATGTGTGGCCTGTCTTCAGCGTGTGGACTGTTTTTCTATTGAAGTTAATGGAATCTGAGCCGAGCATGTGTGGGTAGCACTATTCAGGGCTGTAATGATTTTCACAGAGGCTTTCTCTACTCAATTCTTAAAGGTCCCCCAGGGTAACCATCAAACTTTGTATTGCAGGCTGCAGAGACTGCTAGCCTGGAGGAGCATTTTCATGGATGGGGCGAAGTGGTCCTGCTTACTGATCGTGTCGTACGCTGGGAGAAGCCATGGTTTCCAGCTGCTATAATGGGAACAGTGTCTTTTATTTTCCTGTAAGTATATATCTGTATAACCTCCTTCAATTAGGATCATCCCATCTTGCATTCAATGTAGAATATTTATATAGACAAAATAGTGCAAATCCACAGTTAGTCTCAATTTGGATATTGAAATAAAAATATATATGCATTTACTTGTTTGGGGGTGTATGTGTGCTATTTTCTGCTGTCTGAACACATGCTCTAGAGCAGGGGTGCCCACAAGGTCGATCGCGATCTACCAGTTGATCGCGTAGCGATCACTGGTAGATCGCCATGTCCTCTCCTCCCGCCGCTTCTCTGGATCCCCGCTGCTCTCCCCAGCGGGGATCCGAGAAGAAGTGAAGGAACCGGCGGCGGGGGAGGGCGGAGGACGGAGCCGCTGTCACTAACTAATGCAGAGCAGTGAGGAGAGAGAGAGACGCTCGGCCAGGATCTGACAGCCGGCGCCTCTCTCTCCCCTCACTGCTCGTCCGTTCTGTCACAGCGGCTCCGCCCCCCCCGCGGCTCGTCGTATCCCCCGCTGCCTCTGCCCGGGAGAGCAGGGGGATCCAGAGAAGTTGCAGCCCCCCTGTGCGTGGACGAGCGGCAGAGGATCGGTACATGTCACTAGTATGTACCAATCCTCTGTGCAGGACAAACACTGGAGCGATCGGCTGATCACTCCAGTGTTTGTAAATAACTGGGGACACATAGTACTATGTGTCCCCAGTTATAAATGAATGAACAGGAGGTGATTTACATCACCTCCTGTTCATTCATAAGTTTCTCAATGGGGAGAAGCACTCTGTACAGAGGCTCCTCCCCATTCAGAAACAGCTTGATAGTAAAATATTTTCTTAATGAATGGGAAGCCTCTGTGCTTTCCATTCATTTAGAATAGAGGCTGCAGAAAAAGAGATTGAGGACTTTGTGTCCTCAATTTCTTTTTCTATTTTAAAAGGGAAATATCAGGGGGCTTTTTAGACCCCTAATATTTCCCCGAAGCCCCCCCAAGAGTAAAAAAAAAAATTACGAAAATAAAAAAAAGAAAAATAAATAATGAAAATAAAATAAAAAAATAGTAAAAAATAAATTAAAAAAACATTGTTTTTTTTCTTGCCTCAGGCGCAAAAGGAGCTGGCTACGGCTATGCTCCCGTGGTGCTCGTGTGGCTGCCGGCTGAATGTGTCAGACACTGCAGATGGAAAGGTGCAGGACACCCCATGTGCAATGTCGGCCACACGAGCACCACGGGAGGACAGGACGCCGGGACATGTAGGGCGCACTGGAATGTAAGCCGGCCGACTCCCTGCGTTCAGGTGCGGGAGGGGGTGTGGAGCTGTTTTGAAGTCAATGGCAACGCCCACATTGCGATCGCCCGCACTCGGAACGCAGGCACATTAGAGGCAGCTCTAGAGAGAATATGCGGCAAAGGAATATACTTGTGGGACAAACCTCACATGGAACATTGGTAGCTTTAGCACCCAAAACATGTTTATGTGCCAGGCAGCCTGGAATTGAGGTTACTGGTAAAGGTATTTTGCTTTTCCCAGATACATCTTTTAACAGGAACTTGTAAAGACAGAAATAAGAGTTGCCATTGCTTGCTTGTTTTAAAGTGCAGGCTCCATGGCTATTAACCTGTCCCTGGCCAATTGGTCTAGTGCAGGGATCTCAAAGTACTGGCCCGTGGGCCAATTCCAGCCTGCAAGTAGGTACCATGTGGCCCGCATCCAGCTGACAAGTCGACGACCGTGTACCTGACTTGGAGAAACAGCTACACAGTGCAGAGCGCCATAGCCAATCACAGTTCTTGTTCCATCGGCAGCAAGGCTGGCTCGGTATGGGAGACGTTCTCTGATTGGCTATTGCAGGGGTGGGGGCGGCTCTTCTGGTAGCGGGAAGCTGAAGTATGCAGTGTTCATACAGAGATTGGAAGCTGTGACCAGGTCTTTATTATGGCTCAGCAGTGCTGTGGTTCATGTTTTGTCCACTCTGCGCTCCTTCAGCACTGTGACAACACAGAATGGCCTATGTACTGCTGCAAAGCTGTCTACATTCATCTCCTCCATGCACACTGTGCGGCCTCGGGTACTGTCCTGGGTACGTGATGTGTGGGCTCCTTCATCGGCTGTTCACATAACTGCATAGTTGCCAGCTGTCCCCCATGCTTTTAACCTGTTCCCAGCAGGGTGCAGCCCAAGACACAGGATGGGAGAGGCAGATTGGTAACTAGACTCTGTGTGTGTGACTTTGTATTGTTAGTGACACACAGCCTGCCTGTCTCCATCTGCCTTCTGAAAGGGAGAGGTGCGCACAGCAATGAGGTGCACTCTGAAGATGTAATAGGAAAAGGACCTCACAGTTCTCACCTCCTTCTCTAGCATTGACAGAGGATCAGGCTGTCCATATCAGGGGTCTCAAAGTACCAGCCCATGTATCTAGCCCTCAAACTGGTACCATGTACGCGGTGTGCATCTTTCGGATGCAGACTGCATAGCTACTCCTGGCGGTGCCAGTGCTCAGAGTCAGCGTGCGCTCTGACAGCCTTCATTAAACGCCAGCTGAAAGGACGGATTAGTAATGTCCGCACCAGCAAAAGGTGCAGACTGTACTAATCAACCACCGGATCACCTTCCCTTAAAAAATGTAAGCTGGTGAGTGGGCTCTTTGTGAGTGTATGTGTGTGTTATAACACACATACTGACTTCACTCACAGAAATCCTGACAACACACACACGCTAAAAATATACTGACGTTGCATACAAAGAAACCATCACAAACACATAAACTGACATTATAAAAACACATACAGACATTAACACTAGTACCGTATAGTGTTACATTTTGTTTTGAAGTATGAAATTTGACAAGCGGCCCCCATGAGAGAAGAAAATTTGTCCAGTGGCCCCCGAGTAAATTGAGTTTGAGACCCCTGGTCTAGTGAATCACTGACCTGGAGCAAGCATGGAGGATCAGACTTTAACATTTCACTGGTTGCATGCTTGTTCCAGGACAGTGAATCACTAGACAGTAATGCCAAGATCACAATGATGGGCCTGGAGCCTGCACCTTTAAGGGGCCTGTTACACGATGTCCGTTTTCTGTGCTGACCTGATCCGTACGCTCCTGCACTAAAAATGCATCACAATGTATCCCTATGTGTTTTATGGGCTACAGTTCTCACGTGCGCAGTCCGTTCAGGTTACGACAGAAAAATACTGCATGTCACATTTTGTACGGTCCGGAAACGCGTCAAACGCACTGCACTGCAGCTAACATACTGACAGCCCCACTCCAGCAAAACAAAAACTGGAACGCATCCAAAACGCGGCAAAACACATAGCAGCGCTTCTGCTGATCAGGACCTGAAACTCATGTGAACAGGCCCTAAAACATTCAGAAGTAGCAGCTTACCTATTTCTATCCTTGGTCTCCATTTATAAAGGTTCTCATTGACTATTTTAATAATGTCTTCACCCCCTTGCTTATGCAATGTAGGTGAGCGTTTCCTGAAGACATGCTTTTTACCAGAGGGGAATTGAAGGAATCTCTCCAATGCGGCCTCTGAAGGCAGTAAAACCTGACAGGAGTTCTAATTCTTCCTCACTCAGGTCCAAATCAGAAAATGTAGTTATAGATACACTTTTAAACTGAAAGTCAATTGTGTAATTACCTTCTCACTTATTAGATAATAACAGTAGGCATTGGAGCCAGTGGATCAGTGTGACTGTCAGTCAGCTACCATTTACAGCAGAAGCTTTTAGCAGTGGCATCCTAAATATTCTCTTAGTAGAGATGTTCTCTAGAGCGCAAACCGAAGTATGACCTCTGTGATTTCAGCATACATATCCACCAGATAATTGGGTCATGTCCTGTCTTCTCTGCAGTTGCCATTACTGTTTTGTAACAGAAGGAGGAAGTCAATATGCTAAAATATTTATAAGTTGGTTATTGTGTTTATTATAATGAAGATCTCAGAAGGGTACCAGAGTCAGTTGGGGAAATGTGAACATGCTTGAATTAACAGTTACAAACAATTGAGGAAATAGCAATTTGGATGTGACTGCTTGCTTTGTGACCCATTCTCAACAACTAAAGATTGGTCCTTAGGTCTCACAATGAGTATTTGCAACCCTTTTCTCAGTTGTTTCTAGAAAATTCTAAATTGCTTGGGTAATGCATTACAAAAATCCTTAATCCATCCAGTGAATCCAGTTCTTGCAATACATTTCTGAGTATACATTGTCTGATATGTGAGTTTTAAGATGTGTTTTTGTACATTGCATTCTTTTTACAGGATGATCTATTACCTGGACCCATCCGTTCTTTCGGGTGTATCTTGTTTCGTTATGTGCCTATGTCTGGCTGACTATCTTGTTCCCACATTGGCTCCCAGAATTTTTGGCTCCAACACATGGTTGGTATTACTTCTCTTATACTACGTTTATCAATTCATGATACAATAACTATTATTAGGTTTTGATCTTGCTCAGGTGTATTTGGCACACCTCAGTGCAGTTGATCCTTTAAAGAGGGATATATTGCATTATGCAGCCTCTAGTGCAGGACTGTCCCAACTGGCAGAGAACACTCTGCTTTGCAGCACTGGGCACTGTAGATTGTTACTGTTCCTTTTTGTGGGAGACGTTGCACATGGGAGTGGCTGGTTGTAAGGTAGATTGTGATGCATTTGGGGAGGGAGATGCATGTGGTTATCTGTAATTGCCAGTTGGTAGTTGCTGATGCATGAGTGTGTTGGGACTCCAGCATCCAAAACGTTCTGGCACAGGTGCTCAGCTGGTGCTGCAGAGAAGAAGCCTGACTGGAACCATAGTAGAGAGAGCGAGTGTGACATCATGGTGACAGATGGGTGGGTGAAAGGCTGGAGGATGCATGTCCTCAGTTGTGTTTTATCTGCTCCAGTATAAGTGCATAGAGAACAGGTGATGACATGATAGGTGAAGCACAATGGAGGACCTGGGGTTTCACCCATTGTCAGTACCTTGGGCATTTCATACTACCTGGATGGGGTACAGTGCAAGTGTGACCCTTGGACTCTTAAGTTGGGCAGCACTGCTCTAGTGGGATCTTCATATTTAGGTAGAAGTTACTGGGGCTACTGACAACATGAACTTGAAAAAGAGAAGATGAGCCTGTACAAGTTATTCCAGGAGTTGGGGGAGCTCTCACCATTGGAATCTTAGACAGAAGTAAAGACCAAGTAGAGGATCAGTCTTTGGGAAACTAATCTTTGTCCACACTATGAAATATTTTTAGGTTTTCCTAGTGTGTTGTAGGAAATCGTTCTGTGCTGTAATTGTTTTACAGGTTCAAAAACTCTGCCATTCTTTTTACTTTGCTGTATTGTGTAGGACCACTGAGCAGCAGCAGAGACTTCATGAGATCTGCAGCAACCTTGTGAAAACCCGACGTAGGATTGTTGGCTGGTGGAGCCGTCTCTTTGTCCTGAAGGAAGAAAAGCCCAAGATGGTAAGGATATCTTGTACTCCAATATTGAAAGGCATGATTGTAAGGTTACAAACACCAAAAAGTACTAACAAAAATCTAATAATTGTAGAATGTATAAATCATCAAAAAAAAACAACTAATATGCGTACCAGCATCAGTCCTTTTAAAGTGCATCTCTCTAGGCTTTTTTTTTTAGGTTTTGGATAGAATGGCAAGGGTTAGGCAGACTGTCCATGCTGTGTGTGTCCCCACTGAGGAGATTTATCACTCTATTTGTAATGGCGAGCATTGTCGCATAGCAAGAAAATTAGGGGAAATCCAAAATTTTAGAGGTGCACCCAGAGCCAGAGGTAAAGGGAAATTGTCTAGATGGGGATACCTGTTTTGGGACAGTGGCCTAGGAGGGGAATTCCCCCTACTTCAGATTTCTTCTAACTTCCTGTTGCCTCTCTAGGACAGGAAGTGAAGGGAAATGTACTTATTGGTACACAGACCTCAAAAATAACATGGCAGGGGTTTTAG